GACGCTGGTCTTTTGGTCTGCTTTACACAACTATGCCATCGCCAACGCGTTCTTCACCAGCACGTTCGAGGACACGTGGACGTATAAAAACGGAGACCGGGAAAGCCAATTGGATGCCATATTGGTGGGAAAAAGATCGTTTCCATACGTTACTTGCTGCGCAGTGTCTTCAGACATCGACATTGGATCAGACCATCGACTTGTTTGTCTAGATATTCAGCTGCCCGCGCGTGCCCTGAGGAAGCGTGACCGCAAGCCGCGCCATCGTCCATGGAGCCCTGGCTCATCTTACATTGCTTTATTGGAAGAGCGGCTACGCAGCTTGGATTGGGTCAGTGCCGCACCACATGAATGGGTCTCTGCACTGAATGAAAGCACGGCGTGGGCTGCCCGGGAGGACAAGCATCGAGGTCGACGCATTCACATTGAATCACCCACGCTTGATCTGGACAAGCAGATGCACGCCTCGATTGCTGACCGCCGCCGCCTGCAGGAATCCAGTCTCCCGGTGCATCTTCGAAGAGAAATCCGGAAAGACTGGGGCAAGCAGATGCAGAAGTTGATCCGCACGAGGCGAACGATGACCACTCAGAATAAGATCGAGACCACCCTGGCTAAGTTCAAGGGCGTGAAACAGTTGAAGCAAATGCGGGGGAACCGCAAGAAAGATCACATAATAGAAATGAAGGCGTCGACGGCACGATTCACCGCAATCGCCTTGACATTGCCGAGGTTTTCGCTCAATTCTACGAGACGCTCTACGCTAGTACCAGGCAGGGCAACCAGGAGCACGTCTACGACGAGCAGGCCTGCCAACAAATCCCCGCATTCACCATAGACGAGCATGCCGCTGCAGTCAAAGACATGAAGACGGGCAAAGCTGCAGATGACCCGGGTGTGCGCGCGGAGCTTTTCAAAGTGGATTCACTTGTGCTTCGAATGTTGATTCTCGACGCGTTCAATCAACTTCTGTGCCCCGCGGCGGCCATTCCAGCAGATTGGCTCTCAGCAAAGATCGCAGTGTTGTACTAGAGAGGCGATGCCGCGCTTCCCTCGAATTACAGACCAATAGCAATACCTTCGATATCGCACAAGCTCTTCAGCCGAATGCTCTGTAGCAGATTACGAGACCGCGTGGTTAGAGAGCAGTCTGTTGATCCAGCTGCGCATCGCCCAGGGCACAGCACAATCGACCACCTGATGTCCACGACGTTCCTGCTTGAAGCCTGCCGAACTTACAACGTTGAAGTATGGGCCGCAATGGTTGGTTTCGAAAAAGCTTTCGACACGGTGGAGCACGACACTCTTTGGAAGGCGCTTGAACAACAGTGCATACCCATCGAGTACATCAACATGCTGAAACGACTATAGAGAGCGCAGTCGGCATCGGTGGCCGCAGGGGACAGGAGTCGTGCATTCAACATATCCCGGGGAGTAAAGCAGGGCGATCCTATCAGCTCGTTTTTATCCATTGTTGACATGGAACAGATTTTCAGGACGCTGAAGAAGATATGGAACCATTTGAACACTTGACGCGTAGGAGAGTATTACGGCAATGTTGTAGACGATATTGATTGCCCTTTGAGTAACTTACGCTTCGCGGACGATGTTCTCTTACTGGCCACGAACAAAAAGGACATAGGCCGCATGATTGTGGACTTCGAAACGGAAGCGTTGAAGTATGGCCTCAAGGTGCACATGGGCAAGACCGTTGTTCTCACCAGTTTGCAAGTCAGACCCGCTACCGTCAGATGCCGTGGCAAAGATGTACGCGTGCTGCAAAAGGGCGAAGCAGAGAAATATTTAGGCCGGAGACTGTGTTTCGACGACTACCACGGAGTTGAGCTCGACCACAGAATGGCAGCAGGATGGGCATCTTTCTGTACCCAAAAGGAGATGTTGTGCAATCGCCGTGTCCTTCTCAGGGACCGCATGAAGCTGTTTAACGCCACGGCCACGCCGGCTGCTCTCTACGCTTCCGCAGCGCGGACGCTGTCCGCCAAGCAGGAGAGGCGGCCACGGACAACACAGCGGAACATGTTGCGAAAGATGGTGGGCACAGGCCGCAGCTCAGAAGAGCCTTGGGTCGAGCACATCCAAAGGGCGACGCGCGCCTGCGCATCGCTAGCGCGTCGGCATGGCGTGGAAGACTGGGCAGTTGTTTTCTGGAGGTCGAAATTGAAGATTGTCGTCAAAACTACAGATGTCCAGGACGGGCGCTGGAACGCCCGACTGGCCAGCTGGACACCGTGATTTCGCGTGCACGCAAAGAGAAGTGTCGGGGGCCAGCACAAGCGCTGGTGTGACTTATTTGGTTTCACTATATTCCCTGCTTAGCGACGCCTTGTTTCACATCTTCCAGCCCGGTACATCGCCGGGGACGGCGGCGCCCGCCCCCTCCCTCAGGGCCGTTGTTCCTTGTTCCTTGCTCCTTCCAATTAGGCCCGCGAGCGAGGCAAGCGAGGTGCAGCGCAGCACCCACGTGCAGCAGCAGGGATCGAGAGAGAGCGCGGGCCCGAATGTCAGGGCCCAGCCGCCCCCCCCCCCCTGATTAGTCTCGTCGCAGCCGAGCCAGCCATCGCTCGCCTCCTTCCCCCAGCTGCACCGGAGAGATCGAGAAAGAGAGAGCGGGCTAGATCGTCAGGACCTGGCCGTCTCATCTCTTCAGGCTCACGAGCGAGGCCAGCGAAGTGCAGCACAGCACCCGCACACAGCGGCAGGGATCAAGAGAGAGCGGGCCCGATCGCCAGGACCTGGCCGCCTCACCCCTCGAGAGAGCGAGCTCGATCGTCAGGGCCAGGCTGCCTCTTCCCCCTCTGTGCCACTGGGCTCGTCGCTGCCGAAGACAGTCGCCACTAAGGACGGCCGAGGGCTAGGCGTCTAAGAGTCGCAGTCAGCTCGGAGAGAGAGAGAGAGAGAGAGAGAGAGAGAGAGAGAGAGAGAAAAAAAACAAAAAAAAAAAAAAAAAAAAAAAAACACACACAAACAACGGGCGACGTTGCGACGTCGACAAGTACAAGGCAGCCCATTATTTTTGTTTGCCTCTTTGCAGGGGAGCGGGGGCGGGGGGGGGGAGATGCGGGGGGGGAGTTTGAGAGTGGAGGCCCTCGGAGCCTGACCGCCCGCCAGGAGCAGCGGCAGGCTCCTGCAGAGGCAGCAGTTACATGGATAACGCAGGGGCTCCTGCAGCGGGGCAGCGACGCGAGGGGCCCGCGCCGGCAGCCCCCCGCGACGCCTCGCCCCAGGCAGTTCCACGGACCGACGAAGCTCGGAACGGGGTTGCTTCCATATTATACCCAGAGCCCCCCCCAAATTCCACTACAGGCTTGAGTACATGGGCCTCCGAGGGCCTTATCCCTATCCTTATCCTCCCCCCCCTCCATTCCTTTCCCCTGTGCAGACTTTCTCCCTGGCGCACCCCGAGGGCAGCGTTTAGGGCGGGCCGGTTAAAAGGTGGCAACAGCTTCGCCGATGGAGGGCGGGTGTTCTTCAAAATGTGGCCCTCGCATTAGCGCCGCGCCCAATTGTTTTGAACATTTGCATGGGCTTCACGGATTGAGGGCGGGCGGTTTTCAAAATGTGGTTTTTGCTTTAGCGCCGCGCATATTCAGTTTAAAGCTTGCAAGAGCTTCACGGATTGAGGGCGGGTTGTTTTCAACATATGGCTCTCGTTTTGGCGCTGCGCACACTCGGTTTTTAGATTTGCAAGAGTTTCACGGATTGTGAGGGCGGGTGGTTTTCAAAAGGCGGCTTTCGCCTTAGCGCCGCGCACATTCGTTTTTTGATGTAAGAGGTTCACGGATTGAGGGCGGGCGTTTTTCAAAATGCGGCTCTCGCCTTAGCGCCGCGCACATTCGTCTTTTCATGTGCAAGAGCTTCTCGAATTGAGGGCGGGTCGTTTCCAAAATGTGGCTCTCGCTTTAGCGCCGCGCACATTCGTTTTACAATTTACAAGAGTTACACGCGTTCGCATGATCAGCGTACCAAAAATGACGTTTTGGAACGATTCTGGATTACGCGGGTGCAGCAGTCATGTTGATTCGCAGTGTTGAAATTTCGAAAATGGAGTTGTGGCACGATTCCGGACCGTCAAAGCGCAGCAGTCAGGTTGATCCGTGGCGTTGGAATCCCGAGAGCAATGTTTTGGCACGTTTCAAGTCTTCCAACGAGGCAGTTCCGTCAATGCAAATGAGCCGTTGTAGGTGCCTATGAAGATGGGAGATTGGAAGGAGGGTTAGTTCCAACATCGTTAATGACTCTTGGGTTTACACTGGTCATCCCCCTCCCCCTCCTCCTCTTCTTCCTCTTCTTCCTCCTCCTCCTCCTCCTCGTCCTCCTCGTCCTCGTCCTCCTCCTCCTCCCTCCTCCTCCTTCTCGACTCCTCCTCCTCCTCCTCCTCCTCCTCCTCCTCCTCCTCCTCCTCCTCCCTCCTCCTCATCCTCCTCCTCCTCTCCCCTCCTCCTCCTCCTCCTCCTCCTCCTCCTCCTCCTCCTCCTCCTCCTCCTCCTCCTTCCTCCTCTCTCCTCCCTCCTCCTCCTCCTCCTCCTCTCCTCCTCCTCTCCCCTCCTCCTTCCTCCTCCTCCTCCTCTCCTCCTCCTCTTCCTCTCTTCCTCCTCCTCCTCACATCATCATCCTCCCCCTCCTCCTCCTCCTCCTCCTCCCTCCTCCTCCTTCCTCCTCCCCTCCTCCTCCTCCTCATCATCATCATCAGCCATCCTCCTCCTCCTCCTCCTCCTTATCCCCCGTCTCTTCCTCGTCCTCCTCCTCCTCTTCCTTCCTCTCCTCTCCTCTCCCCTCCTCCTCCTCCTCCCCTCCTCCTCCCCCTCCTCCCCCTCCTCCTCCTCCTCCTCCTCCTCCTCTTCCCCCTCCTCCTCCTCCTCCTCCTCCTCCTCCTCCTCCTCCTCCTCCTCCTCCTCATCCCTCCTCCTCCTCCTCATCCTCCTCCTCCTCCTCCTCCTCCTCCTCATCGTCCTCCTCCTCCTCCTCCTTCTCCTGGGCAGGCCATCGGCGCGAAGACGACGGGCGTCAAGCTGATGCTGGCCAGGGGCGTCGTCGAGCTCGTCGAGCGCAAGGGCCGGCGCGAGGAGGCGCCGCGCCCGGGGGCGCCTCGCGCGCGGCGGGCCGCCGTCGTGGATCGAGGCGCGGGGGGCCCGAGGGGTCGGGGGACCTGGGCCCTTGGTCGAGGGGGCCGATGGGGGGTGTCGAGGGGTTGATCGAGGGGTCGGGGCCTGAGTTCGAGGGGGTCGTGGTCGTCGATGCCGCGGGACACCATCGGGACACCACGGCGGGACACCCTGGGCACCCGCCCGCCACGCGGCAGGGGGGGGGGGGGGGGAATTTCCGTCCACGCCGCGCCCAACCTAAAGGAGGGCTCATTCCTTTCGCCCGCCCACGCAGCTTCGCCTCGCTCGCGCGCACGACACGAACCCGAAACCGAAGCCGACTTCCCGGGGGGAGTTCCCTGCCCCACTTCGATTTCGCCCCCATCACTTCCGATGCTCTCGGGGTCGCAATGTTGCTTTTCTTGTTACTATTCGCTCTGCTGCGCATTTGTTGGGGTCTTTGCTGCGGATCTCCTGCCCCTTCTCTCCCCCCCCCGCCGCCCCCACTCCCCTGCCCGCTCGCCCTGTGGGCGCTGCCACCTGCCCCCCCTCTCCCACTTCCCTCCTCGCCATCTCCCCCTCTCTCCTCCTCCTCCTCCTCCTCCTCCCCCTCCCTCCTCCTCCCCCCCCTTCCTCCTCCTCCTCCTCCTCCTCCTCCTCCTCCTCCTCTCCTCCTCCTCCTCCTCCTCCTCCTCCTCCTCCTCCTCTCCTCCTCCTCCTCCGCCTCCGCCTCCGCCTCCGCCTCCGCCTCCGCCTCCTCCTCCTCCTCCTCCTCCTCCTTCTCCTTCTCCTCCTCCTCCTCCTCCTCCTCCTCCTCGTCCTCGTCCTCCTTCTCGATTCCTCCTCATCCTCGATCCTTTCTCTTCCTTGATCCATCCTCCTTGTCCTCCTCCAGTTTCTCCTCCTCCTCCTCCTCCTCGTCCTCCTCCAACTCCAACTCCAACTCCGCCTGCTTGCTCTCTCTGCTGTGTCCACCGAACCTGCGGTGAGCGCTGCACGAAGCGGCGCGGTGCACGCGCGGTGGCTCGCCGGCCTGGTGCGGTGTCCGAGTTTGCCACCCGCGCCCGCGGCGGACCCGCCGCCTCCGCTGGCGGCCCTTCCCCAAGCGCGAAGGGCTCGTCGGAGCCCGCAGCGGCACGAGACGGCGGTAGCCGGCCTCGTCGAGGAAGAACGGGAGGGAAGACGATGAGGAGGGGGATAGAGGGCGGCGAGGAGGGGGGAGGAGGGACGAAGAGAAGGAGGATGAATAGAATGAGGAGGAGGAGGAGGAGGAGGAGGAGGAGGAGAAAGAGAAGGAGGAGGATGAGGACGAGGAGGAGGAGGAGGAGGAGGAGGAGGAGGAGGGGGAGAAGGAGGAGGGGAAAGAGAAGGAGGAGGAGGAGGACGAGGAGGAGGAGGAGTGAGAGGGGGAGGAGAAAGAGAAGGAGAGGAGAGGGAGGAGGAAGACAAGGAGGAGGAGGACGAGGAGGAGGAGGAGGCGGGAATCAACACCCTCCTCCACCCACCCCGAGGAGGAGCCCGTAAACGCGGAGCCCTCAGTGACCATGGCGGCCACGGAGGCGCCTCCCGTGCTGGCCGCCTTAGCGCGAGCGTGCGCGACGAGAGAGGGAAGGAGCAGCAACAGCAAAACAACGACGACGACGACCACGACCACGACCACGACGACGACGACGACGACGACGACGACGAACAGGGGAAACTACGAGGAGAGTCCCGGAGCAAAATCCATGATCCTGGAGGAGGGTCAGGGGTTCCTGGAGGAAAACCCAAGTGGGAGAGAGGAAAGGGGGAATTGCAAAGGAAATATTGAAAGCCTCATGCGGCACGCAAAAAATGCATTACTAATTCCGCGCATCCGCCCCGGAAGGCATGGGACGACGTTCGCGCGGCGATTGTCCGACGTAAAACCCGCCGAGAATCCGACGAAGAGTGAGTCTCGAGTTGCAGCGCGAGGCCTCAAGGATTTCCTTCGTAAGGGAAGGTGCTTGATGTTGCTTGTCTGTACTATTGGGGCTGTCGCATCCTAGGATGGCATCCGTGCGGCCTTCCTTCGGTCATGGCGCAGGGCACAGGTTCCCCAAGCAAAGGACAACCCTGGGCCCGAGCGGAACACGCTCCTGGGCGAAACGCTTGCCAGGGTGGCCCCCGAGAGCGGCGCGGGGGATGGAACTTGAACAGGGGTCGTCGAAGGACAGGGGGGGGGAGAGGGCCCGGGGAGCAGCTCCATGGGTAGAGTCTTCGCTCAGTCGGGTGGCCAGCACGGTCGGACCGAGGTACATGATCAAGGTCAGTTCGGGGAGGGTACCTTGATGTTCTTCGTGCTTGTTGGGTGCTCTTGTGCATCCTGGGGGAGGGCACCCTCGAATGATCTTGCGGTTTGGGGTGTTTTGGCCGGCGAAAGGACCAGCTCTGTCAGCACAGTCAACCCGCACAGCAAGGATGAGCAACCTTCCCAAGGGTGCTCTTACATTTTTGCCTCCTCGGTCCATCCTTGGCCACTTTCGTCGGCCGCGCCCCGCTCGAAAAGCTTCGAAACGGGCGTCCAAGGCCCCTGCATCCTGATGGCGCATCCTTGTGGTACGGGCCGGCTGCACCCTCGAATGATCGCATGGTTCGGGGTGCTTGGGCTGGCGGAGGTACGGTAGAGGGAAACAATGAGTGAACACCATCACCGCCCCCCAAACTCAAAGTTGGCACGCGCGAGGGAGACTGCGGTCGAGGTGCAACTCATCAGACCCACCGCCAACTTTGAACCCTGGGGGGAGGGGGAGGCGCTCACAGATGAATGTGGCATGCGTGTTCGCTATTGTTTCCGAGGCCTGTACCAGCTCTATCGGTATGTTCTTCGCTCAGCAAGGTCACCAGCACGGCATGGTCGTGCCACCTCGGCGCGGCGGGGCGACGCCGGCGCGGGCGGTCAGGGCTCCGCGATCACTCGGGGGTTGCTCGCTCCTGGGCCCACGGACATGACGACCCACGGCGCGAAGGCCATGAGAAAAAGAGGGGGTCGATGGCCTCCCGGGCCCCCTGGGATTAAGTCGGGCATGTCCCTCTACAGGAAAGATATGCAACAATTGTCCACAAAAAACAACATGGGGACGATTTTTCGACTTGTTGTAACTATGTTTGAAGATTGTTTGACTATTCTGATTCATCTTCCCAAATCCGCCTGTGGGAGAGCATGCCCGACCTAACCCTAGTCTTCCAAAATCCGCCTGTGGGAGGACATGCCCGACCTAACCCTGGGAGCGGAGATCGCCGAAGACGGAGTGGCCCGCGCGATGCCAGCAGCCAGGGCTCACGTCGTCAGGGCATGGGCTTGCCGCGGACCAGTCGAGCGACGAAGGAAAACGCGTTCGTCCTCACCGACACTGGCGCGCAAACTGCCTGCGCAAGGGTCGCGGGTGAGCGCGCTCGCTTCCACTGAGCAGCGTGCCGCGCTGGCGCCCCGCGTAAGCTGCACCGCGCTGAGTCGCTGCGCCATCTCGCGCAGGACACGCTTTTTGTTCGCCGCTCGCGAGCTCCTCCTCCTCCTCCTCCTCCTCCTCCTCCTCCTCCTCCTCCTCCTCCTCCTCATCATCATCATCATCATCATCATCATCATCATCATCATCATCATCATCAGCATCATCATCGAGGCAGGGCCCACGTCGAGCGAGCCCATCGGGTCGCTGAAGAGGCCGCACGCGTCGGCCCCTCTCGCGCCCGGGGAGGCCGGGCGGTCAGGCTGCCATGTGGCCTGCGCGCGCCTGCGCGTGGGCTCACCCCCCGCGGGCCCCCGAGGAGCCGCGCGCCGCAGGCCACTCCGACCCGGGGCCACTCGTGCGTGGATCGGGCGAAGAGAACTATGCACATGCACCGATCCTGGCAAGGCCCATTTTTGGCCCAGGATGGGTGCATATGCCTTCCTGGCCAAGGTAGGAGGGCGTATGCACCGATCCTGGGCTCAGGATGGGCCTGGCCAGAATCGGTGCATGTGCATAGTTTTTTTCCCTCTAGTGGAGCCGGCAGCCGAGATGCTGAAGCAGGGGGCTTGGCATCGCTCGGACGTGCGCAGTCTTCCTTCGGCGAGGACCATCGAGGAGCATCCTTGATCACTCGGCGAAAAAACCACGCACGAAGCCGACAGAAAACACACGGAATGGACGTCCGAACGATGGCCAGGGTCACTCTGACCCAGGGCCACTCGTGCGTGGAGCCGGCAGCCGAGATGCAGAAGTAGGGGGCCACATGCGAACCCCCACCCTCCCCCTCAGAAATCGTGGGGGGTGGGGGTAGGGTTCGCATGTGGCCCCCTTATGAAGTAAGGAGCAGCTCGGGTCCAATGAGGAGTCCGCCTGTCCCGTGGGGGTCCTTCCCGGGTTGCTCCTCCTCTGGCGTTCCTCGCGCACGAGGCTGCCTCTGGGGGCCACGACGGGGTATCGGTCCCTGTTTTGCGCTCCTGACTGTGGCAATCTGGCCGTCATTACCGCTTTGCCGATGCCGACACCGTGGCGGCGAGTGGAGCCCAGTGTCTCTCCCCCGCTCTCCTGCCCCGCTCCCGCCCTCCCGAGTTCGCGTGCAGGGAAGAGCCTGCCGTGGTGAGCGTCCGATGGCTTCTGCCTCCAGCGCCGTGGCTGCGGTCCTGAGCTTCAGAGTCAGAATGGCGGTTCGCTTCCGCATCGTTGTTGCATCGTTGCTGCTGTGCCTGCCCACGGCGCGCGTGGACGGAGCCCAGCCCGGCAAGGGCCTCGAGCTGCTTCCCGCCGTGGCCGCGAGGACCTTTCAGGAGGCCCCCAGATAGTGACAGCATCAAAATTTCCTCCTGCCTCTGTTCCTCCTCCCTCCTCCTCCCTCCTCCCTCTGTTTCTTCACGGCAAAAGTGCGTAGTGTCTGAGGGCACCGGTTGGGAACGAAAGCAAATAGCGACAGTGAGGAAATGGTGCGTTGCGGCATGCGAGCGGACAGGGACCTTGCTTCCATCTCCGCGGCGCTGCAGCAGCAGCCAGCACGCGAGTCGCAGAGGGGAAAGGGAAGCGCAGAAACAGTTGGAACAGTTGCAGGGCCCATGGGGTCACAGTGACCGTGCCCCCCCCCTCCTTGCTCCTCGCTCCCTCCCCTCCCTCTCCCACTCCTTTTGCCCCCTCGTGCTCGCCCTTTCCCCCTCCCTCGATCTCCCCGTGCCGCGGCGGTCTCCGGATACCCTGTGCTGGTCTCTGCGTAGAAGGTCCCTGCAGGGCCCCAGAGGTTCTTGCAGGGGGTCCCAGAGATGCTCGTGGGAACTCAAAGAGGGCCAAGAATGTCGGCCGCACGTGAGAGTGACCCTTTGACAGGGTGACCCTTGGTGCGCCGCTTTCGGGGGGCGCCTCGGGGCCAAACCCCAGCACGCAGGCCGCCACTGTCGCACCGCACGCAACGGCCCCAGCAAGCCGCGCACTAAAGGTCACTCTTGCCTGGGGTCCCTCCTTGCGTGTAGCCGGGAACGTTCCAGTGTGGACGGCCCAGATCTTCGCCTCCCGTGCACTGCACCAATCGGCTCCGGCCCAGGGCAGCCGCGGCCCGCCCGCGGGAATGTAGCGCGCGGGTGCGCGCGGACGCGCGCGGCGAGGATGCCGCCGCTCCTCCTCCTCCTCCTCCTGCTCCTCCTGCTCCTCCTCCTCCTCCTCCTCCTCCTCCTCCTCCTCCTCCTCCTCCTCCTCCTCCTCCTCCCCCTCTTCTCCTCCTCATCTTCCCCCTCTTCTCCTCCTCATCTTCCCCCTCGTCTCCCCTCCTTCTCCTTCTCATTATCCTCCTTCCCCGTCCTCTTCCCCCCCCTCCTCCTCCTCCTCCTCCTCCTCCTCCTCCTCCTCCTCCGCCTCCTCGTCGTCCTCATCATCATCATTTTCCCCCTCTTCTCCTCCTACTTCTCCTTATCATGACCCTCCTTCCCCCGTCCTCCCTACTCCCCTCCTCCTCCTCCTCCTCCTCCTCCTCCTCCTCCTCCTCCTTCTCCTTCTCTTTCTCCTTCTCCTTCGCCTCCTCATCCTCCTCCTCTTCCTCCTCCTCGTCCTCTTCCCCCTCTTGCTCCTCCTTCTCCTTCTCATTGTCCTCCTTCCCCCGTCCTCCTCCTGCTCCTCCTTCTCCTTCTCCAACTCATCGTACCGGGGCCACATGTGCGCGCTTTTCTGTTGCTGGATGGGGGAAAGTCAGGTACGTTATTATTCGTTTTCATTCGTTGCGCGCTCCGTGTCAGGGCATCCACTTGAAGATGCGAAACTAATGTGTTTTGGATTCAAGTGGGCACGGCTTGACAGGTGTGCGGATAACATGAGCGGAGAACATGATACGGCATGGGTAGTCGGAAGCGGCACACTTCAGAACAAGCGCTTCGTTTCTTTGTACCACGGCTTTTGAAAGTTGTGATCCGCCAGATGTGGTTGCTGCGCAATTGCGATGTGCGTTCCGTCTCACAAAACCAACGTTTTGTGTTTTCAGCGACACCGTGGAGGGTGCCAATGTGTGTCTTGTTTTCGTTCGGTGCTGTTGGATGTGTGCCATGGCCGTTCCTCCACATCCACTGCATCCTCACATCCGCTGTCAT